GCAGAAGCTCCAGCAGCGCTGCCGCCAGCCAGCAAGTGCCTGAATGCAGCTCCAGGCAGCGAGCTCTTTCCTATATGGAAAGAGCCTGCCTGCCTTCGCAGCCTGGCTGGCCTGGGCATGGGCCCAGAAGCTTCCGGTAGGCCCCAGGATGATGCGCCTCTGTTGCAGCTACTGGGCCTCATTTGGCTGGGCCTCCCAACTGTCTGTGTATGAGCCTGCGATTCTCGTCCAGGGCCTGCATCATTTTGGAAAGGCCTGGAAGGCCGTGGAATGTCTCGCTGCTCGGTCTGTGTTTCCCTCAACCAACTGGCGCGACGAAACTGCCTGGACCCCAAATACAATATTGACAGCTTAGGGCCTCTCGTGATTTGTTAGGCCCGCCTTCACTTAGGGCGGGCACATCTGCAGCTAGAGGCCCATTAGGCCTGCCGAGGACCCAGATCCTCGCATTCCCTCCTCCTTTCCTTTGATAGTCTTCTGAGAAGTCTTCTAATCTGCAGGCATTTTCCCCTTGAGTTCTCTTTCATAGCCTGCAATAACTTGGGGTGCTGTTCGCATGAGTTCTTCTCTGGTGAAGCACCAATCTTCCTTGGAATCCAGATGATGTCTGAACCTCACACGGTATTGCATTCTTGGCTTAGGAGGGCGGCCTCTGCCAGGCGGTTTAGGCATTGGCATCACTCGATGCTCTACGATTCCGTCGATGTCGACTTCGCCATCCATGGTTGGGGGCAGCGTTGACCGTCAGTCTCTGCGAAAGGTGCCAGCTTGAATGCGTGAAAAACTGGGTGAGTACGTAGATGAGGTGGGACATGAATAACATACGAGGGTCCGTCCACCTGATCCCCCACTATGTCTAGGACCTCCCAGGGACCAAAATATTGTGGCATTAGTTTTCTAGATATTCCCAGTTCCTGTCCCAGTTCAGATGACTTTACCCACACCCTGTCCCCTACCTGAAAACTAGAAGGCCGTCTGTGTTTGTTCTCAGATGCAATCATAGCATCTTGAGATGTCCTCATGTGCTCAACGGCCTGCTGCAGCATCTGTTCGTATTTGACAACAAATTCTACTCTACCGGGTGCTGCAGTGGCCTGTTTCTCAGGTAGTAGGAAATCAAGGGCGGAACGGGGCTTCCAACCAAGAAGCATTTGGTTGGGAGTCGTGCCAGTAGCGCTATGTACAGCGTTGTTGTACAGGCTGGCAACGAGAGGCAGTTTCTCGTCCCAGTCATCCTGGCTTGGCTTGATGTAGTGCCTTAGTAAATGCTGCACTACTCTGTTCATCTGTTCTGCCTGTCCATTTGACTCAGGGTGATTCCCTGATGTCATTTGCAGTCTGGTTCCCATCTGTTGGGCAGTGTTCTGCCACAGTTCGCTAGTAAAGCGAACATCCCTATCACTGACTATGGACTTAGGTAAACCAAAATCCCGTCCCCAGTTATCCATAAACAGTCTGATGACATAATCAGTCTTGGTTGCATACTTAGAAAAGCGGTCTACTATAACAAAGATGTGCCTTTTCCCAGACCTGCTGGTCACAAGAGTATCCATGAAGTCCATGGACACACTCTGACCAGGACCTTCCGGAATCGGCAAGGGCTTGATGAGCCCAAGGGGAGCCTGCGTCCTGGGTTTGCCCCTTTGACAAACCTGGCACGTTTCGACATACTTCTTGGCATCTTCCATCATAGAAGGCCACCAGAACTTCTGTACCAAGTTAGATGACGTTTTCCTATAACCGAAATGGCCAGTTGCATCATGACACTCACCTAAAAATAAACTACGCAAAGACTCTCTACTAGGAACACAGTCTTTTATTCCTTGCCTTCTCAAGAAACAGCAAGTCGTCTACCATCGTAAATTCATCCGAAGTCGCTTTGTCCTTCGCTTGGAATTTACGGATGATCTCAGACATAACTGGATTTTGCTGATAGGCTTCCACCAATGATCGGGTTAGATCGTTAGATATGCCAAACTCAGTGACTAGCGCGCCTAGATAATCTGCCCGACGAGATAGTGCATCAGCCACTTTGTTGTACTCTCCCTTGATTCGATCAAGTTCATAGTCATACATGTCTATCACTTGAATCCACCGTTTGAGTGCGTCAGAGAGCACAGGCTGTGTCTTAATCCAGTGCAAGGTCTCATGGTCAGATCTCACATAGAAGAATCTGCCTAGGAGATAATGTCTCCAGTGGACTAGTGCTCTATATAGCGCATAGAGCTCACGCTCATACGTGGACTTTGCTAGCTTTTGAGACGGCATCTTCTTACTCATATACTCGATCGGTCTCAACTTTGGCCCCTCCTTTTGCGCAAGGACCGCGCCTATGCCATATTGGCTGGCGTCTATGGTCACAACAAATGGCTTATCAGGATCCCAAAGTTTGAGGACCTCGTAGTGTGTCAGATCATACTTCAATTTCTTGAAGCTTGCCTCACACTCTTCAGTCCACTCCCAAGGGGTGTCAAGTCGAGTTAGATCTGTTACTGCGGAAGCTATAGTACTATAGTTCTTAACAAATGGACGATAATAGCTCGTCATCCCCAAAAACGATCAGACCTCAGTAACAGTCTGAGGTCTAGGCCAGTCTCATATGCTGGCCACTTTGGCATCGTTCGGCCTAACTCGACTGAAGTGGCCAGCATACGAGGTCCTCAAACTTTGGGATCCTGATACTGAGTAATGCGCGGAGATTTCATGACCCACGCGACCAAACTCGTCATCCCCATCCGCGAAGATTTCATGACCACTGAAGTAACAGCTCGTCATCCCCATCCGCGGAGATTTCATGATCCACGTACAAGATCTTGGTGCGACCAAACTCACATTTCTCCAAGTTTACCTTGTACTGGTGCTGTCTTAGGAGTCCTAGCACTATTTTCAAGTACTCAGTGTGCTCCTCTACAGTCTCACTAAAAACAAGGATATTATCGAGGTACAAAAAGATAAACTTATTCATGACATATCCTATTCATGGCGTGCTTGAATGTCCCAGGGGCATTGCATAGGCCAAAGGGCATCACCACAAACTCGTACAGACCGTACATGGTGTGAAAGGGGGTTTTGTGCTGGTCCTCAGGTCTAATGTCAGTTGATGGTATCCCGACTTCAGATCTATCTTTGTGAAGTACAGGCATCCCTGCACTCTATCCAATAGGTCGTCGATGTGGGGTAAGGGCTTTGCATTCTTTACGGTGATGGCATTGAGTCCCCTATAGTCAATGCACATCCTCAATGTACCTCCCTTCTCAGGAACAAATAAGATTGGCGCACCGTAAGGGGAGGTACTACGCCGAATCCATCCCTTCTCTGTG